GCCGCTCCTCTGCCCGGAGTGTCGGGTTCGGGATTTCAGGTCTACAGCAGGGCCTCATGGGGCCTTATAGGGTGTTCTAGATGGGGGCTTGGGGGCTTTAAGGCTTGCGGGGCACTCTCTGACAGACCGGCAGGCTACGTGGGACACTTTACTGGCCTCTACAAGACAGAGCCTTTGCGTGGCAAGGCTGTCAGAATCTGTCTGATGAAGATGGAATGTCAATTCGGGCTGCCAATTTTTGAGAGGGATGATGAAGGGGCCTTGTACGTCTCGAAGTATGGCATCTACATGAGTTACATGCTGGTACACTTGGTGAATATTGGGTGGGCAGGGCCTTCATCATGTAACTCCTATGTTGCGTAGTCAGTACATGAGCGTTCATTCAAACACCAGAAGATACAAGAAGCAAGCCCCAGAACGCCTACTGACCTTCTGCCAACACTCTGACAAATGCTGGGCAAATTCCTGGGTGCCGGACAGGGGTGGAGCGCACCGCAGCCAAACTTTGAGGGTCGACCGGTGGCCGTTGGTTTAAAAGCGCTTCAGGTCCAGAGGTAACGCAGCTGCGGCATGCGAAAGGCCCAATCAGAAGTTCGGAACCGATTGGAGTCGCATGGCGAAGAAGCAACACCAGCAAGAAAACAACAACGTACGATCCGACCACTGTAACAGTGATCTACGTGCGAAAAATTGCCCTGACATGTGATGTACCTACTTACCAGCCCTACAAATGGAAAGCCCTTCCTGCACACGCCTGCCAAAACTTACACATCCGCCCTTGGAAGTTCTTTAAACCCTGGTTAAAGTACCGAACGATCTACCAACCTGCCTCCGATCATGTGTATCCATCTTATGTCCTGAACACATGTGCGAAGCTCAAGTCATGTTTGGAGCTCGGTTGGAACTTTGGCCGAGGTTGGGCAGTCTCCGGGCGATCGCAAAGGCGGCCACGCCGGTGTCGAGAGCGGTGCGGCGAGATCTGTCAAGGCGTAGGAACCGACAGTTGTCATCACCTTCGTTTTAAGGGTTGAATCTCATACTTAAGCTTTGGGAAAAGAGAGTAAGACACTATCTTCAACTGTCCGAACTACTTCGGCATTTCGCAGAGCTGTGCCATCTCCAGCCTCGCCGCGGTATCTCTCGACCGGAGGCACCGAAATCTTGCCCAAGAGAGAAGCCCCAACTAGTAAAAGCTTTCCGTCGTGGGAGGGCTGGGACAAGGATTGATGAAGGCTGTCTAGGTTGAAGTTGTGGGGCAGTACAACACCAGGACGACCAGGGCTTAAACTTTGCCTGGAATTAGCTACTTTGCATTCCAACTCATGTTTGTTCGGTCCGGGAAGACGTTGCGGCCCCTGCGGCCATGGACTTCAATCACCTTGGTCCCTCTATCTCCACCACTTTCCACAAGCTTGTAATGGCTCTGATTTCGGTGCCAAAGCCCTAAATTTTGTACAGCTCCACATAACAAGGTCCGGCTCCAAGCCGTAAAACCGCTCGCCGATGCTTGAGGGTTTGGGGATGGGCTTCTTCAACCCAGAAATCCCAGAAATCTCACATGGCAATACAACAAGGACCCGCTAGACCAATAACCACTACAAGCCTTCATAGTCACCCTCAAAGAAGGGATCGGGTTTTATCGAAACCCCCACACACCTTAAAGCCATATATTCCCATATAAAGTCCTACAGCACCACTACGTATAGACCTGTAAAACCATACAACACCGTCTTGAGCCTCAAAAGACCTTCCACCTTCGATAGCATGCCGGTGTAGATCCCCAAACAATGGTAGAGTGCTACGACGACCTGACGACCAAAACAACCACAACCATCAGAACGAGCAGGATCACCGCGACAACTGCTACGACCAGGACACCCGCGACAGCAAGGACGATCAAGACCACCACGACCATCAGGACACCCCCGGAGGCCACCAGGAAAAAACAGAAAGATTATTAGGAGACCACCACAAGTTTTCAGGAGACGAGAGACAACCAGTCGACCGCGGCCAATCCGCTTCCCGCAAGCACAGGGGTGATTCAGGAGCACGGCCGAAATTGCTTTCCCACAATTATATGATGTGAGCGTAAAGTATGCGCCGCGCCACGGCGGAAGACGCGTTGCGGGAAATCCTCCCGCGGGGGCATCGCGACCTTAACCAAGTCTCTCAGTCTCTTACGCGAAGAACCCCGAAACCCGCATGCCGTATACAGTCCTTAAAGACGCTATGATTGTAGATATTTCAGACCCCTGAAACCTCAACTCAACAGGGAGGCGGACCTTCCTGGCTTTGCTCAGACCGGGAGATCGGAGCTCAAAAGCCAGTACTGCAACGCAGTTAAAGTCCTCGACCCCGAAACGGTCAAGGCTTCAGCGCTTACGGGCTTGCTGGGTTAGTTAGAGGTTTTGGTGGTTGCAGATTCTTTTTTCGAGTTTCGAGCTGCAGCCCTGCTTCTGGGTCCGAGATCTCCAGGCTTTTTCCGCGCGGGCAACGCCACTGTAGGCCGGCAGCCACCGACAGCTCGTCAAAAGGGGCTCAGACTCGGGTCAGCGATAGTCTTCGAGGCAGGAGACCCCAAACATCTCTTCATCACCAGTTCCTGTAGTACCTGTAGCCCCGCGCGAGCTGCCGCGGATCGTCGGCCGTGCGAGCTGCGCCACTGGTTGCACTTGCAGGCCTACTTGCGGTAGTTTCTCTCGAGTGGCAATTGCCGCCTCTTCCGCAGGTGCACATCAGGGAGGGAGACAGGGATGTCGAGGATTACTTGTCAGCCGCTTGGGCAAGGAGCAGGCAACCGGCAACAAGGGTGCAGCTCGTGCAAGCTCGGGTCTTCTCAGCGTCCGGTTTTAACCCGAAACCTCAACCTTTCGGTTTAGGCTTTAAAGGGAGAGACTGTATGGGGCTTCAAAACTACGTAACATCCTGTCAGAGCATCAATGTCCCACCGGTAATGGCCGGTAGACAGACGGATTTCGGATGAAGGTCGCGATTCTTCATTGAAGGGAAAAACAGCTACAAGATGTGGATACTTAGACCTCAAGACTTGTTCAACTCTTGGGATCCAGAAGCTGAGACGGCTTGCGCTCCTTCAGCACATGGAGCAAAAACTGCAGACCTAATCTCGACGAAGTGCGCCGGGGTGAGGCCCGGGGGTTTACGCCAACTGGAATCGCGGAAGGCGACAAGGGCTCCAAACTAAAACTGTGTATTGCGAAACGACCAGTGGACTTGTGCAAGAGATGCGCACTTTCAGTCTCGGAATTGCTTCCAACTCTCCGTAGAGTATGTAATGGGTCGAGACCTCGCACCCCCATACCGCTACACCTTGCAGCAAAGCCTATCCAACCCCTTCTTCCGTCACAGGGGCAAACCCATGCTTTGTCGCTTAGAGGCTTGGGAGTTCTGATCGGGTTTGCAGGGCTGTGACCCCGGGCAACACCGATACTAGGCACGCTTCGTCCTTCTGTCAGTCTAGGCGCAGTGAGCTTTTACAGCTCAGAAAAGGCGGTAAAAAACTAAAGAACCGAAACCGCAAGATCTAGCTTGACTTTGACACCGATCCCAGGGAACATATCCTGAATGCTACATGCCACTTACCTTCCAACCTGAACGACCGTTAAATCCTCAGCTCGTAAGCCTGAGTGGTCGAAGTCACAATCATCGTGCAGTACGTCCTCAGCTTCGGTCGGCAGCTTGTGAATCCGTGAACCGTGGACTGCGAAAAACTATGACTGAGGAGCGCCTGTCAAACTCTGTTGCGTATCGAACAGGAGCTTACGACGTCTGAATGGCCCCGGACGACAGGCGGGTACCCAAACCTGAAATCATCCTGATGCTGGTGCCTGTGGGGAGCGAGCTTGCACGTGTGGCAGTGTGGCAGCGTCAGTTCGTACCTAGTAAACTATCAGCAAGAAGGGCTGGCAGAGGTGGGTGGCGAAGTCGCTGAGGCTGCGACCAATCTAAGCATTGACACCAATTTCCTTAGGTTGCATGCAACCATGTCGGGTTGATAGTTTGTGGCAAGCCAAGAAGGAAATCCTGCTGCTGCAAACAACTTACCTACAAACTCAAGTCTGCGAGCCCCAAACCCTAAAACCGCAACCCCCAAGACACTGCTCGGGCTCCCTTCGGGCCAAGTCACCTCCGCAGAATGCTCCTGCCCCATCAGCTTTCTGCGGTTCATTCTCAAAACGAGGGTCCAAATTTCAAATTTTGCAATCAAAAGGGCTGGGCACTCGTAGAATAGAGACCCCAAGGGGTATAGTAACTTCGGGAATCACTCGCTGCAGTCCGCAACGCTGGCTGGTCCAGCTGCTAAGACCGTGCAAGCTTTCAGAGCGCGTGATGTACACTGCCAAGTTGATTCACCAAAATGCCGAAACATGCCTTCTAACTTGAAACTGGCTAACCCTTGATCTGCCAAATACCAAGACACCTCACCACCGACCCATCCACCCTCCAAATACCCAAAGGATGCTTGACATGGGCTCTATCGTCCTCCTTTGGAGTGCCATCGAAGAAGGCGACAGCAGCCTGTCAGTCGAGGTTCTGAACATCACAAGCAAAGGCTTAAAACTCTAAAACCTTGAATCCTGGTCTCCTGGGCGTGTGCTTCTCGAGACTTCGTCTCAGGGCCGCTTCTGGGTCCACAGCGTAGCACATCGCCTGAACCCCTGCGGGCTTTAAGGTTTAGAGCTCTCGTGTTGGCGGGAAACATAATCTAGTGGACACATGTAGTACAACACATACCATGACATACTTGTAATTTAAGATAATATGCATAGTACCGTACAATACAATATACACCAACAACTCGGAAGGTTCCGGGAGTGCCAAAGTCGAACGGGTCCCAACAGCCCGGAAAACAGCTCAACGCCCGTCTCTCAAACCGCCACATCATGCGAAGACCTCCACAAACCCCGGCAAAGACTCCACCGAAACGTGCAAGAAGCAGCGCCTCCACGAAAGCAGCTGAGAGTCACTTGCACCTTGAAACTCTAAAACTCCCAGAACGCACAACAACCCCCAAAACCCTGAACCCTCAAAACTCCCAAGCTCTGCCGAAGCAGCACTGGCACCTGCCAGAGGGCCGGTGGGAAGCGACAAGAGAAGGGCGGGAGGCCGTCCGGTGGGCGCGCCTTTTGTCAGCAAAGCAAGAAGAAGAACCAAGCACGCTTGATCATGCTTGGTGATGGTTTGGGGTTTAGGTGTTTTGTTTGGTCAATCCGCCCATTTTCCTCCCTTGGGGGTTTTGGGTCCTGGGGTGTGCTGCTGCTTCGTTGTGTCTTTTCGGTGCTGTTTGGTTGTGTCTTTTGGGGGGCTTTGGCAGGAAGCGAATTTAGATTTCACCAATGTAAGCAACGGTTGTGGTAGAGCGCCACTCCGGCAAGCTACCCTGAAACAGAAAGGGTGTGTGGCGATGGCTAAATCTCCTAAGCGCCTTTCGGAGTTTAAAAGTTCGAGCTCTGACATGACCAGAGGACCGAGCCGGATGACACCAAAAACAGACGTGTTGTAGATTCCCGTTGTCTTTCTGAGATTTGGGGAAAGTGCGTGCATGTCAACACGGCTTCATCCAGTATGGCTTGATTCCTGTGCAGCATATTGGATCTGGCGGTGAGGCGGCTGCACACGGGCCGATCAATTCCCCATTGCAAGACCGTTGGACGCTCGAGTGCACTGCAAGGTCTCTACAGCACCCTCGCCTCCTCCCCTTGGGCGATCTGGGCGTTGAGGAAGTTCTTCAGGAGCGACAGATTCATCTCGCTCCTGCCATAGCAGCGGCTTCCAAGCTATGGTGACCAGTCTTGAAGTCCCCCAGAAGGCCTGAGAACATCCAGGTTTTGCTCGGACTCGTAGCCTTAGCTGTTGCACTTCACGGTCAGCCATTACCGACTCTAGGAAGAAGCTGTGGGCCGTGCAAGAAGCAAGGATCGTGGGGAAGAGGATGCTCTTGCCCCGCTCCTCCATGAAATAGTGCAGCGGCCTGATCTTATGAGCTTCTCAGTATGACTTTTCGAGTCTGAAGTTGTTGTTCTGTTGGCACCTAGATTGGTCCGGTTCGCCACTTAACAAGCACTGAACGGTCGCTCCTCTTTCACAAACGTTGCGCTGAAGCTTTGAGACTCTCGGGGCCTCCACTACGGGCACAGGTCATTCATGGTCTCCCATGGATGGCGGTATGGAGGAGGGTTGTGGAGGATGCGCTTGACTGGGGCAAGAGCCTTGCCGATTGATCCTGAATTCAGAAGTTTGGCCTGATTCTTGGGAAGCGCGCATGCAGGGCACTCAGTCTTCAAGAGCTACGCACGTCCTGTCCCAAGATTCATGCCAACTCATCCAGGCCAACCTGGAACCCTGAACCCTTGAACCCTAATCCTTCGAACATAAACCCTTACCTTTTGTTAATCTGGCACAAACGAACCTTAACCTTAGACACTTAACTACATCAACCTTCCAAACTCGAAACGTCTGGTAAGACACTCTCAGCTCCGAAGGTCAGCAAGGCAATGCTCTGCTGGGCCCCCGAGCAATGCTGCGAGGCGGCAGAGCAGCACCTGCCAAGGCTGAATGCTGAATGCACTTCGGTTCCTATCGGAGGTTCTCGCTGGCGTGCCCCGTCAAATTTCTGAGTGCATCCGACAGTTCGTGGATGTAGAGGTGAGCATGCGCGAAACAAGCCTTTGCTGTTCCGGCTAATTAGTGTGATTTGAGCTGCCAAAGATTGGGGCCGGTTTCGGGGAGAGCCTTGCACGTGGATTTTCACCGAGCCAGCCTAAAGCGCAAAACCCTCAACTGAGGGACTCCCCTCTGCCTGGCCCTCGCCGTAGCAAAGGATGGTCTGGTTCTGCGGAGCTTCGAGGCAGTAAAAGCCTGGGCAAGTCCCTTTCGAGTTTTGTTTGCGAGCGTTTCTTCTAGCTGCAGGAGGACGTAGGCTTTTGGGTTTTTGCTGGGCATTGACTGTGCCATAAACATATTATATGATCCTCAAGCCGCTGAGCGTAGGTAGACCTAGCCAAGAATGTCTCTCCGCCTCTCTCGTATATATTCCTTCCTTGTTCAGCACAGCTTACGCTGCGGTTGCGTGGTGCCGGGCGACTTGCCCGCTGGAGGTCATTGACATCTGGTGCGAGAGGTCGCTGAAATGAATTTTCGGGTGGAAATCTTGTCGCCGACGCACTCAACACAGAGTAATTATGTGTAGTATTGTCCTTGTTTGTCATTTCGCTATCATTTACGCGGTCTCACTCGCCCTCTTTTTCAACCTCTCCCGTACTGTACAGTGGTTCCTTTGTCACACATATACTTCCCGCCCAACCAACACATCTGCCTACTGACATGTCTATACATCTCTTCGATGAGCAGACTTTCTAGTCTCGCCATCTATCTATCCATCATATACCTATCCGCATATCACTACCTGTATGCAAGTCTACACGCACGAAGCTTTCCGGCCCGGCTCGGCTTTAGAGCCCTTGGTGTCGGGGGCCCCACCAAGCAGCACGACCGTTTCCTGAGTGGGCTGTTGGGAGTGTGTACAGTGTAGCAACGAGGGCTTCGGGCTCACATGTCCGTCATTTTGAGCTTGTTGCATTTTGTTGAAGGCTTCGGCCGCGAGATCTGGCCCTGCCTACAGCTTACAAGTGCGATCCATAAAGGCATGGACGGCACCGTGCGAAGCTGCTCAAGCTGCCCTGACGCCAGTGAAACACGCGCACAAACGCAGCAAGCAAAGATTGGCCCGAATGGGGCACGTGGATAGGGTCGGACTGCAGCCTCGAAATCTCATCAATCTGAAAAACTGAAGCTAGCTTGGACGCAAGTCATCTGGGACGCTTGAACTTTACACCTCAAACGAGATTACTGGAGCCAAGCTTCATGGAGCAGCTCGCTCTCTTCTGGCTGACCTGGCGAAGGTGGTGTTCAAGAACGTTTACCCAGGACCTTTAAGTCCCGGGGGGCCTTTCCCCCAAACCTTCAAACGCCCAACCTCAAAACTGAAAATCCCGCGACCCCGCTTTCCAGAGGCAGGGGTATGGGATGAGGCCGACTTCCGGGCGGGGCAGTACCCCTTGGGATGCAGGGTCCCTCATCCTTTGCCTTGTGAGGTTGTGGGCTTCGTGACGCTTCCTTGGTGTTCATCGCGGCAGGAAATCTGAGGATCCAAGTGCTCGGGCCTTAAGTGCAGAGGAATACCCCGTGAAATCTGTAGGGGGAGGTGGGGGGAGGGGATAGGGATACACTCAGATCTAAACCCGTTTCGGAAGTAGTACTGGTGTTGCCCGACATCTCGAAGGAGCGCATCGGGTGTTGGAACCCCCAAGCCCTTTAGCTCTTCTAGGGCCCAACGGTTTCAAGGACTAGCTGCTAGCTGCCTCACACAACGCTGTGTCATGGTATTTTCGAGATCATGCTTGCAGAGCCGAGCTTCCAGGAATTCGGGCCACGCAGTAGTCCAAGAGGGTCACCAAAACATGGTACAACTCCTGGGAAAGCTGCTTTTCTTCCCAATCCAGCTAGCTGACCTAGATCCCTAGCGCTTGCGACACTTCTGACACGGAGTTCAAACAGTTCAAACAACAGTGGTCGTCGTGGTTGAAACTACCTATACATCAATGGATGCGGGTGAAAGTACTGTTTTTGATGTTCGGATATGAAGGAGCCATGTAAGAACACCTAGCTGAGGGAATCTGCATCAAAACGTCGTTCGATTGTAATTCTCCCAATGAGAACCGTCAGATTCAAATCGTCAACAAGATGTTCAGAAGAGGGGTTGTAAACTGCCAGGCTCTTCAGGGCTGCAGAACTGACACAGCATCCGCGAAACACCAAACTCGTCAACTGCGAAGGCTCACATGTGGCAGAACACGAATAACGACAACACCAGTTGAAGTGGCATAATCTTAGTCATAATGTCTAGAGCGCCGCATCAGCCAAAGAAGCCCGCTCCTGTTGTCTACCAGCGCCAGCACCCATTGTCTTTTGAAGCGTCTTCAAGTCCTGCCCAAAGGCGTATTAAGGTTCTAGATCTCGCCCAGCAGTCGTACATGCGGTACGAGTTGCCAGGATTAAAACACCAGGACAGTAGCTGAAGATGTTGTTGCTCCCCATGCTGAAAGGCCAGGACTCACAGATCGTAATTATCATAGGTTAGCCGTTGTCACACATGTCCGATATGTTGAGGCTGCATGACAACTTCACGCAAAGTGGAGCTAGCATTTCATGTCCAGTTGAGGACAGACCAAGCACTTCGCTCAGCTGAGGGCCAGGCGATCTGGGCCACACAGTTCAGAATCCGAAGGGCCTGCCGCCAAGTTGAAGGCCAGCGACTGGTGCTTGTGTGCAAAGCCGTCGCTATCATCCGCCAGAGCACTCACGTTGCCACGAGAGCCTATGATCGCCTGAGCAGTCCCTGGGCCAGGACAACATGAACTAGCAGTGCTAGCAGCTAGCAGCCCTGCGATGAGTTGAAAGCCACGAATGTACGATCGAGTTGATGCGGTACGGAATCGTCCACCACATGTTACTTACACTTCACGGATCCGGTTAAGGGCCCAAGCCCGCCTGGACGCACAGCGACACCACCTTGGAAGTTTCAAGTGTGAGTTGGGCTGCGCAGATTGCATGGTTGGGACTGACGAAATTGACCAACAGCGTCTGGCATTGCAATCCGCGGAATCTGCCGTCGTCCGATTCCATGTCAAGTGGCGGTCTGCGGCAGCTTGGCACCCTTTTCCCGGCGGCCCTCTGAGAGCAGGATGGACACCAGGATGCCAACGACACCTGACACGTATGTTAGGGCACTCAATTCTACGACGGTGGGGTCTATTTAGCCCAAGATAGCAGGCAGCACCCTAACCAAGCCCTGAAAACCCCGTGAGCCTACTATCGGGGCCTTAAGAGCTAGAAATAATACGGAACCCCCAAAATAGTATAGGTAATCACTAAGGCCCCTATATTACATTCTTGACCGGTCTTGGGCTTCCAATGTTATGGGTTTGGGTGCCTAAGGGCTTCAATGGGTTCACGGGTCCCTTACGTTTTTCAAGTAAGTGCCTGCAACGCCCGAACTGTTGATGCGATGTGAGCCCGGCCTTGTGGAATCAAGACGCTATCAGTAGGGACTGTTGTGGTCTGGCAGAACCATGCGGGATGCATAGCATCAGCCAATGTCTTGGAACAAAGTAGTATGAACACCGGAAAACAGTAAGGGTTGACTGCTTGCGTCAGCGATGGGTTGCTCGTTGACCCATTACACCGAACCTAAATCCCTCTACCCAAAGCCCCAACCCGAACCTGAATCGAATCGATGCCCTGTCGGGCCGAGGAGCGTGCGATTGGATTTTTCCGATTCCCAGTCGCTTCTCCGTCGCTTCTCCGCCCATGCCGCAGTCCAAGACGACTAATTAATATAATACACAATTCAATCCTACACAATCATCACGCGGTCCATCCTCTCCTGAAAACCATGGAAAATTGCTTTCATCGAGTCCTGAGTGAGCATCTTGATGTTGACGCCTCTTCTGGTTAATGCCTTCAAGCCCGGTCGCTCATGTTGGTCACGTCGGACGGTCTCTCCGGAGGGAGGAGCTCGGCTCGTTTCACCTGCAAGTGGTGAAGAGCTCGGCGACCCGGCGACCCACTGGGACCTTGGAAGGCGCGGTCGTAGAATGGTGGTGTTGAGCTTGTGTAGTAGCAGTCAGCTCCCCGGCCATTGAGCGCTGGAAGAAGACGTGCACTGCTTTGCTCGAAGACCCTCGAAGGACAAGCCGCCTTCTTTCACCAGAAACTGTGGCACCCGTCAGTCGAACTCTTCAGGTGTCAAGGCATCAAGGCTGCCGTCTTCTCCTTCAGATAAGCGGCAACCTCGGAATCACTGGACACTTCAGACAGCGTTTGGTCCTCTTCAGACTCGTAGCGTCGCCACATTGCGGCTGGATTTGCCCGTATCCTCTTTATCTTCTTGATTTGATGCGAAAAGGCGAGGGAGCATTCTTAAAGTACACGAGGGTTCAGGGCTTAGAGTTCAGGGTCCTTGAACTTCTGAGAAAGGTACCGCTTTCAAAGCTATTTTCGCACCCTCACCTTGCCAGAAAGGGCCCTTGGGTCGGTACTGATATGCGGTTTGGGTTTAGGCCTTATATGAGGGCATAACGCCCAGGCCTCAAAGCCATACGTACAAAAGCACCAAGCATGACCACTCAATTTAATTACTATAGACCCCTATTATGATAACTTAAAACCCTTTGGCAACCGGGAAAGCAGGGTGCACATAGTTTCAGGGTTTTAGTTTCGGATCGGCTGCCTGTGAGTCTCGGATCACGGGGGTGAGTTTCGGGACCCAGTTTCGGGAGGGGATCGGGTCAGTTTCGGGGCGCCGCGAGGTAGTCAGTTTCGGGGCGCGAGGTAGTCAGTTTCGGCGCGGGGTGGTCAGCTTCGGGTCGAGATGTTGCCAGGTGACTACTACGGTACCACTAGAGAAATACTATGTGTACAATGTGTACTGCTACTGGTACTGCAAGTACTTTAGTATTACTACAGTACTCCGCGTAGTTCCAGTACGACCAGTACTCGTAATTGCCACGAGTAATACTGCTGCTTGCCCTACGAGTAGCTGCTACTCGCCACACAGTAGGCAGCCCAAGGACTTTGTATGAAAGAGAGCTTTCTGAGGCAGTGGCCGAAGAGCTCTGTGTTCCGCAGGGTCTCCAGCACACGCTCCTTGGCCCAACTTGCGGGTGGAAGTCGAGATCTCCGAATCCCCGAAATGAACTTCCCAACCAAGTACTCTCTGCAAAATACCTGAAACCCTATTCCAAATATGAAGTCGCCTGTATGAAAAAGCCGACCGAAGCCGCTGCTTCTCGGCTTTGAGTCTAGCGGATCAAGTCAAACTGTGAAGTTTCTCATCCCAGTCCCGTCTGACACTGTGTCGAACCCGAGCGGCGTGAGAGGAAGCAATGGCAGCAACCACTTCCGGGCTTGAGTTTGCCTGGCTTTTCGAACGACTTGAGCTTAAATTGATTGCCATCTCAGAGTCACTAAACCTTTCTCGACTTCCGATGGAAGTTTCTATGTATGCCATCCCGAATAGATTCGATGGAAATCCCGTTGTGTCATCGGCTCGCACATGCAAGCTTCACTCTATAGGACAGCGGTTATTACGAGTGCCTTTGGCAAACTATTCAACCATGCCTCTTCCTCGAGTCTCGACTAGACCCGATTCCACAAGCGGAGTCTGCGAGAGCTTCTCGACAGATCAGATTCACACAAACTGCCATAAAGACCCTTCTGTCAACACGCTGATTTCGACTGAAACTCCCTCTTTCACCAAGCCTACGAGTATCTTCACCAAGTTCCGGCAGTTCAGGGTTCTCCCGGATTGAAAGGGAATCTATGGCTTTGCGCAGGCATCGGCCGCGCCCGGCAGCTACGAACGCTGTCACGACCATGAAAAGTGACAGCTCCAGGAAACCGATGTCAGGGCTGCGGTCACGAATCCTGAATGCCATCTTCCTTGCAACCCTGAACCCTCAACGCCAAACACTTAAGCAGGGTCGACCGTTTCTCCCATCCCTCGGCCTCGGGCTGTGCGCCTCCCGGGCGGCGATAGGCCGTGACGAGAATATGCAGAAAGCACCTGTTAGCTCTCCATCATGAGAACAGCCGTACATTTTAAGGTCTTGGCGGGGATGGTGCGGGGTCCGCTCAGGAAGGTGCAGCTTGGATAGCTGTGACCACTGCCTATGACAGGAGGCGGAAGTTTTGGCGCAAAGCGTTTGCACGCTCCTAGTAGAGACCTGAGACCTCACTACCACAGGCACACCTCCGCTGGCAGCAGAACTTACACCCGCCACCGCGAACCAGAAGATGAAAGCTCAAGCCTGGACGAGTTCAGCCTCACTGTCTCCCAGCACCGAATCAAGGGTTTCTGCGATCATACACTTCAGACCCGACCAAGCCGTCAGTCTGGTGTGCAGGCCAGGGGACATTGCCCGAAGCAGCAGCAAAGGCAGTGGAGACGCTCCGTCGAAGAGCTTGAGACCTCGTGACAAAGGACGCCTATCTGCATGTCTTCCTCACGGCATCCTCTTGAAGATCCCGCCACCCCAGCTCTTACCCTTGGCTATGCCCTAAACGTTCAAGTGGCCGGAGACCTAATACCGTACCTTGAGGCTCCAGGGGACTTAGCAAGTAGGCTATAAGTAGGGGGCGTGGCCGGGAGAATCCCAAGTTCGATGAACATAACAGGTCTAATGGATGCCTTAAACAATAACTTTCCTCGTGTGAACTGCAAAGACAAAGCATCACCAATGTAAAAAAAAAGCCTTCCCCACCCCATGTCAAACGAACTCGCGCTTTCGGGGATCCCGGCGGATCTCAGCTCGTCCGAAGAGCTCGCGGAGCCTCAAAATACAGGTGTCAGGCGACACTGACTGTTTACCGCATACCTATACTATACGACATGTTCATTTTTAGTATGTATACTATATTCATTATGAACATAAGCAGGTCCCATGAGCCTACATGACATACCTACCAGCGATGATCCTGACGGCGACGAGAAGGACAGCGAAGCTGAGTATGTTGGCTCTGCTAATATTCCAAGCAAGCACAAACACTTGGTCTGAATCAGTGGGCGATGGAGCTAGTCCCGTGAGCTGAATGCATGGATGGGCTGCTCAGTTCTGGGCGGATCCTGACTGAATTCTGGGCCCACTGGACCGCACTCTTTTGGGGGTATTGAAGGATGCCTCCTGTGGCTCTCTGGAGTCTGAGTGCTTACTTCGGCACGGCTCCAAAGTCTGACCAGGCAACTTCTCGGCGAGTCCACAGAGGATCAGGTATGCTGCCAGCGAGCCCTGCAGGACTCATGTGGGGGCCAGGGCGGAAGCTCGGTGCCCTCTTTGGCAAAAGCTGAACCCGGGAAGTTTGGCATCCCTCGAGTCTTCGAGCGGGATCTGCAACGTCCGCACTCCTCAGAAGCACGTGGAGCAAACCAGGCCCTGAACTCTCCCGGCCTGAAGTTCGCGAGCGCCCTCTGGGGGGGCCTTCTCAGAGAACAGAGACAGAAGTAGCAGCTGGATGCTCGCAAGTCATCTTCATACTCCACAACCAGAAAAGGCAATTTCCGCAGGCCGACATTGATTCTACAGATTCCTTACACATACCGGGTCAAGTTTCGTATCCAACCTCCGAAGCCGAAGAACGCGGCAGCATTCGCAAGTTTAGGCCCTGCCTGCTTCATGTGCAATGCCAGGACATGCAGGAGCTGCGGTAGGAAGAGGACTGGCCCGCCCTGTCCAAAACTCAGGGTACAGGAATGCCTTTTCCAAAGCAAGCGCCAACCCCAGCCTCCACGTCCTGAGGCTTCAAAGCCTCTGCGAAGTGCATGTCCTGTGGAACGGGACGCCAAGGTTTGGAGCTGCGATTGCAAAAACCTCCCATCCGGACACAGACGTGACTGCGACGTGTGGAAAAGAAAAACAGAGCTGAGCTCCTGCTCTAGACGCTTGAGGGGTACTGCCTTGAGGGGTACTGCCTGTTGGGCGGGCATTGACAGATCTGATGGCTCTACAGGCTTTAAGCCCGGGTCCAGGTATGCAGTGGCCACATCGGCGAGCAGCGTCACTCGGCCAGTGAGCAGCAACACCTGTGGGCCAATGCAGAATGCCCAAATGGACTGCCAGGGCCAAGCGGAAATTTAGCGTTCGGCAGGACAGTAAGAAGGCTGTTGCACAGTGGCCGGTCAATTGCCAAGCACCTGCGACGCAGGAATCAGAAGCGTCCTCAACTTCTTCAGCTAAATGGCAGTTTCCGAAAATAGGGGACCCTAATACAGTACCCTAAATAGTAGGATCCTTCTTATAAGGAGCCAAAATAAGGTACCCCCAATGTTCGGCAACTCCCAAACGGCCCTAAACCATACAACGGGGGGCGCACCAAACGGGCGAGGCGGCTCTTGCACAGTAGACCCAGCCACTTCCTGGGATGCTTTGAATCTTTCACATACCTTTAATTTTAAGATCGGGGAACGAGCAAAGCAGATCTCCACCCAAACGGACGTGAACTTTTGCAAAAACGCGAAAGCTGCAAGAGCCAACATGCAACGGAAGTCATAGTGAGGCGATCCTGTCTCTTATTGCTGTGGACATCGTGGACCTCGGCAGTAAGTGAAGGTGACTGACGAAGATCTCTACATGACTTCGACAAATCCTGAGCCCAGCGTCAGGGCGCAGAGCTGAACGTTGCAATTCCTGAGTCAAGCTGTCAAAGGATTCTGGAAAGACGTGGCCTTCGACGCTCTCTTGCTAGGCTTTGGGGGTTTAGTGTCGAAGCTCATTGTTGAGGAGTCCATAAGTAAGATCCAAAAGGGTGCATGGCGAGTGCGGCCAAGGGCTTACAAATTCTGCTGGGCCTTCAGCACTCTTTGTCATTGTTCATACTACCAATGCAAGAATCATGACTGACTAGTCTAGCCACTTGATGACGAATCCTCTTGTCGTCATCGCGATTCTTGAAGTGATTCTTCGCAGCATTAGTTCTCGATGAAGTGGAAGGTGGTGCTGATAGGATTCTTACTCTTACTGCTCTTTACTACCCAGACCCTCGGGAGGATCCGAAAAGTGGATCCCTTAATCGGGGTTCCTATAAAGTAGCCTTAGTAGTATAGGGCCCCAAATTTATGGGATCTACTTTGTAGATCCTCCCGGGGGTCTGGGTACTTGTTCTCTCAGCCTTCTGGAGCCGAGGCGCTGCTTCCATGCGACAACTGACGCCTTGTCGCCGGCCCTGAGCCGCGAAACGGGGCTCGGCTGAGTAAACCACATGGGTGGTTGTCAAAATTATGGTCCCTTTTTGGGTCCCTATTATAGTACGGCACCTAGTACGGCACCTAATATTTTTTTTAAAGTGCAATGGCTTCTTTCTGTGCTTCGCGAACGATGCTGCAGGATAAAGCGTGCCTCCAGATGGGGCCTACTCTGAAAAGCAGAGTAGGCCCCATCTGGAGGCAGGGTCGAGGGTTAAGCTTCCAGGCTTGCGGTTTGAGACTTGTGCGTTGAGGTGGTGGTTTCAGTTTGCCAAGCTTTGAACGATGGAACGGGTGGAGATGCCTCGAGCTTCACCGAGCACTTGTCATGCGTCTGTCCCGGAAAACACAACAACTGCACAAATCCCGTTTGCCTTTCAGAAAGCAAAGGTGTTCCGGGCCCAAAGCACTTCGAAGCTGGCGATGTTGTCCTTGACTCTGCAGCAAAGATCGACCACCATCCTGGCATCTTCTGAGACGGAGCACGCCAGACCATTCCGCCCCAAGGAAACGCAGCCCCACAAGTGAGAAGCAACGGCCAGGGACTAGCTCGTCCGCAACTTTCCTGAAGTCTGAAGCCTTCCACCCGCACAAAGGCCTTGCGCAATTCAGCTTCAAGATGAGTGCCACATCGGCTTCTCGCTGCACCTGCGTCAGCACCTGCACAGGAGAGAGGCGGTGGGCCTTTTAGACAGTGTAGGGCTTAGGGTGGTGTGCCTTTCTTAACCTCTGCAAGCAGAGACTCAGTTGTGGCAAGCTTGCCCATTTCTTGGGCTGAGTCCTGGCATTCGCCGTTCCTCCTTGCTTTCGCAACTTCCCTGCTACTGTCACGGTTTTCTTTCGGGAATCGTTACCAAATGAAGCACCTTGAACCCAATGATGAAGTTTCAGCTGCATACATTCACACGGAGTTGCTTGAGCATTTGAAGGCCACTCGGCCCACAAGCCCGGCAAACAGACCTGAACAGCGCTACTCGGTGGCGTGCCTTGCTGAACTCGTTGAGAACCTGTAGCAACAGCTGCGTTGAGGCTTCGGCTAATGAGAGCTGCAACAGTCTGCTGGATTCAGATCTGCCTGAGCTGTGCTTCGGCACTCGAGACATGTAAGGTCAACACCACTGATCGAACAACAGTTTGAGCAACAGAACCTACAGTACAGGTAGCTTGGCTTTGGACTGAGATGTTGGGCTCCGTTTTCGACAACGCACAGTCTAGCCACCCAGCCACAGATCCAAACGCAGGGTCTGCGCTGTCGTATAGTGCCTGCTTGCTTGGGGCTGCTTCTGCTGCCCGAGCACATCCGACTCCACTACCGGTACCGGAACACGTCCTCCTGCCCGTCGCATTTATCGTGACACCATCTCTCCAGGCGCCCGGGCAGATTCGGCTTTCTCGAGATTCAAGTAGCCGAGGCTGTGGAACTGATCTTCCTTAGTACTGGTACAGTCCGGCGTGCGGAGGCGTCTGTCTAATCTATGAGGCTAAACTCATAAGCGTCGCCTTCCAGAAAGTCACCCACCCGCTTCGGCATTGGGCCTGTTGTTCTCACTGGGAGTCCCTGCCGAGGAGGCCGCCGCCGCGGCGCTCGAGACACCAAGGACCTTCAAGTTGGCTTCAGTCAAGGCGCTACTATACATGGACTGCATGTACTGCTTTGGGGCTCAACCTTTAAGGGTGTATGGCTGGTCAGATCCATGGAGTATGCTCGCACTGTCTTAGCTCTCAGGATCTAGGCGGGGACAGGTGACCCCATCAGCCTTTGCCAGATCGGCTGCCAGTTTGCTAATCTTCGCACCTGGGTGCAGGGATTGATTGAGGATCAAGTCTTAGCCTTTTGGGATGAGGTTTAGAGTCGTTCGTGGCAGTCAGGTTCAAGCGCAATATATACTGTGCTCACACAAATACATGCAGCTTATAAGATACGGGTAGGGGTCTTCAATTAAACACCTCTGTTTTTTGCGGCTTGATTCATAAGTAACCTGGCAGGGAGAAATCGAGGATTCACCGACTATCAGGCCGAGAAAAAGCGGCCGGAGCAGGCATCAACTGGCACAGTGCAGGCAGGAGGAGGTTAATATATGTTCAGGACCCACATCACGCAACAAATGCACGGACCCATCTCCGAGGATGTGGCGCTGGGCTGCGTTTCCGGCAGCTGCCTGTCGCAGACAAGTTTTTCTCCTTCAAAACTAAAGCTTCCTGGATCAAGAGAGGGCGAGACACGAGGAGGAAGGAGGGGTTCGAGCTGACGCGAGATAACCAGTGCGCAGACCTGGTACGAAGGTCCGGTTTTATCCCAAAAGTTAGCAGGGTTTGAGGCGGGTATCCTGCAGACCACGTCCATGCTTGAAACCCAAAACCCATACCTGCCAAGGGCCTCAACCATACCAATAACATGCTGCTGCGGCTGGTTTACGGAAAAGCTCACGCTACTATTTGGCGAACTTCCTGTACCGTTGATACGGGCCCGAGACTTCCTGCCAGCCAGCCCCGAAATTATCCGAAACCCTACGCCCTCAAATGCACCCTGCAGCCTCTGAAAGACCCTGAAGCCCCCGAATACTGCCTTCGGCCCATCGGAGGCAGAGGCGAGTTGCAGAGCCTCTTCTACCCCGTCTGATCCGAGTTCGGGGATGGCTCTCTGTTCTTGATGCGCTGCTATCTGGGCTTCACTCGGGCCCGTGCGGGACACAGATACATCCAACTCCCCCTTGTGCCCCCAGTCCCAGGTTCCGATGATGCCCTTGCAATACGAGTGAAGCAGCGTCTGTCAGGATCAACTTTCCGTCAGAGCTTCGAGGTTCGGGTACTTGTGATTTTGGGGCCTCTTTGAACTTTCTGCGACCTGCCAGGCTTCTCTTTTGTTTTCAAGAGTCTGCTCTTGATCAAGATCTTCAGGACGTTGGAGATCTCCGCAAAACTATCAACACCAAAAGCCGGCCGTCCAGAGTTTCAAGCTCTGGGGCTTGCTGCTGCCCGTAGCTGGTTGGTCTGGATCTTGGAAACCCAAAACCTGTTGATCAAGAAAGAAGCCTGAACTTTTGTGCACACCATGGAGATTCAGCTCAAGATTCGGACAGCATTCTCGGACCTGACTGGGTGCTTCAGAGCTTCATGGATGCAATTCGAACTGCCCGTGATCTCGCCTCTTCCTCTGTCAGCGCCTTTGCATTCAAGCGCCTGGCTTTCATCAGCAATATTGATCTTGTAATCTAAACACCGGAGGCTGTGCGATCGACAGGCTTCCAATAAGGCACCGCTGCAAGCATTTTACAGTGATTTACCTCCATCACACCACTAAGCCACTAAGCACGTATTGCCAAAACAGCATAACTTTGCTACCAGCGCCCACGTGGCGACCCCTGCGCGTGGCCTCCTCAGCTCAGTGGCCGCAGCGGCGTTTGCTGGCGCCTGGCACAGTGCTTCAGAGCCTTGAAGTAGAATCTCTTCAGAGGATGAGCGCCTATTCTGATTCTCTAGGTAACCCACCCTGAATTTGGATCAAAGTACACCCTAGCTTGAGTCATAGTTTACAGTGTCGCATCAGCACGCACATTCCGACAATTACACACACCTCCACTCT